ATTTTTTCAAAATTCACTTCCGGTCGTCAGATATGTCCGATTTCCTCTTTTTTCAAAAATATTTAATCCGAGTGAGATCTCAGAAACGATAACAGATTAAGGCACTAAACTTTCAGGGATGGTAGATCTTGATAAGCAGGCAAATCCATTTTGGTTAAGATCGTCCGTCGTCACTTCCGGTTGTCACAGGAAGTGTTTATAAATATCAAAAATAGACTCTATTCACGCACGCGCTAAAGTTCGTGGCGATAACGAGGCTGACCTGACAAAAAGCACATGTGCGAGCAGACGCTGAAAATGGACGGCCATGCGAAAACAGGCTCCGCAGCTTATTGTTGTGTGCCGCTTTGTAATGAGGACAGTCGTCGAGGTACAGCAACATCCTTCCACTCTTTTCCAAAGGATCCATCTGTACGGAAAGAGTGGATTATTAAAATACGGCGAGACGAAGGCCCCGACTTCCATGTAAGTTTTTCACATGCCCAACACAAAGTTTACCGATTTTGTGGATATAAAAAAATCCCTCACTGAAACATCTTAAAAAAGTTACAGATTTTTAATTTTGATTATATTTTCCCTTAATTTCATTGAGTTTTGACATACAGGACCCTTTTAATTAATCACGGTGAGGCGATAGATTCCACATCACCAGCGTTGTTTATACGTCCATCTTGTTAACGGTGCGAGCGAGGTTTCGTATCATCTCGCACTTCATTACATCTGTACACACTATGAAGTTAGATAATTAAATTTCGATATACCAACTTTTAATAAATTTTCTAGTCATATAAAATGTTATTTGGATGATAAATATCTATATAAACGTGAAAATCCAAGCCCAATCCCAACCAACAGGCAGCTTAATTAGTTCCCAACAGAAAAAAACAACTCTCTTCATAACATCTACAGCCTGTACTGTCTTAAATCAAATAGTTACATTTTTATGCCAATATCCGTTCAGGGTTTATTGGTACAGTTGGTACCATTGTCAAATAATTGCACCAATGGTATATTGAAAGTTGGTACTAATGGTAGAACTGTGAACGCACCCATTGAGAATTTATACGCAACACTTGTAATCAGGATGTCCAGTTCCTTTCTGTTTAACTATGAACTACTTGTTATCAAATTTTGTCGAAGAAAATTCTTTTGTTTACAATATCCTGATTTATTTTATGCACCAACTTGAAAAATTGATTTTCTCCAGCAACCCCTTGCATAGCCCCTTCACATTAAGTTTGATGCTGCTGTTTTGCGGGGCAAAATGCTATATTTTTGTTAAATTTGATGTAAAAGTAGTTGTTTTTTGTCATAATTTAATTATTTATCTGTATAAACAAAAACGCCATCAAACATTACACATAAATTTGCTCTGCAAAAGTGTAGAACCACTATTATACTGAAGGGGCCATTTGACCTAATAAAGCCGAGGTAAGCAGTTAAAACCTTGTGCACCCCTTAATTAATACGTCCTTCCTTACATTTAATATAGATGTTTTTAAAAGAAGCATTATAATAAATAGTGTACATACTTTTTAATACATCTCATGTATAACTTTTGAATTGTAATTGAAACAATAATAATGTCAATTAGATGTTCTACAACTTGATTGATATTTTTCAGATATCAAACTCCATATTTGTGTGTTCAAAGCATTTTAAGGAAGATGATATTGTAAAAACATTGACAGGTACAAGGCAATAAGCAGCTTCAAAGTTTGAGTTCTTTTGCTGTTACAAATAAATTGTTGAATTTTAATTTATTTTATATTATCAACTTAAAAGTTTAAGTAATGCACTTTAGTTAGCATTGATCATTCAGATTTATAATAAATTTATATCGATAAATGTTCAATTCTAAATATATAAACTTTTTGAAAAATCAAGGTGACATTTCTATTTAAAGTTCAAAAATAAAGTTGTAATTTGGAGTCAAGTACAACAAACATGTAATATTTTAAATTGGAAATAGATAATGAAATATTTTATAATGGTTAAAATTAACATGTCTACACACTTTGTAGGACTAAGAAAATTGAAGAAAGGCACAGTACAAAGTGTGTTTCCATGGACTAAGAGTGCACCAAGCCGTAAACCACCCAAGAAGAGGGAAGGACCTCCTCAGTAAGAGTTAAAAGTCATGATACAATTTGCAATTTTGCTTCTGATAAACAAGGAATGCTGCATTTGTATTATTTAAGCACTGAATTGTAAATTTTGATGTCCATCATGTCACAGCATGGACAGCTGTGCTCACAAACCGAGTTACATGCATAAGCACATACGTATCATGTTTTTGTACAGCTGGTCATGTTACGGCATGATGGACATGAAAATGGACAGTTCAGTACTTATATTACCATTTAAATAATAAATTTATACAGCTTGAATAATGCACACCATACCTGTGCAAGGCCATAGTAAATAAAAAACTAGATTCTCATCCTCATCTCAAAAAAAAAAATCTGTTTTCTTGGTCTTAATTCAGAGCGAGATCGGTAATCAACCAGTATTCAACTTTCGTCCTCTATCCCCCATATGTCAGTGTGATTTTCATGGCTGTTAAGATAATTAAACAGGATCATCAGTAGTTGTGAAAGATTCCTGATGCAAGATGATGTGTAGAAAGAGATAAACATATCTAAATTGACCTCTATAACTATGTATGACTTTTAGATGTATAACAAAGATATATATCTGACAATGGATATAACACTTAAATCTGCACCATTTGATAAGGTCAAAAAATATTTGTATATTAAACAAACAAAATTTATTTTTTTTTATGAAACCCACCACCTGCCTCAATTTAAAAAAAAAAAAATTGATAAGAATCGAGTTTTTTATTTATTAAATCCTTATTATAGGTTATTGGCTGATTATTGTGCCATTGTAATAGCTAACCTGAGCAGACGGAAAGCTCAAGTGATATTTTCTGATCAAATTCACAGGCCTTTCGATCGCTTAAAACAAAATTGTGTTTAAAAAAAATAAAGGTTATAATTTGCCAATTTTTTCAACAATTCAAAGTTGATTTCTTACTCCAGATTGTAAGGTTAAGTCAGTAGTAATTCCTTTCACGAAAAATTTATTTGAAGACATTTGCATCAACAACTGCACCGCCATGTTGATTAAGAATGTGAGTGAAGCCATGGTTGAACAAATATTAATTTTGTAAAAATTATTGCATTTTGTGATCAAATGAATCATAAAGGTTTAGGAATGTGCAAGATTTTTAAGTCCCAATAACATATAGCTGAGTTTTCAGAATTCTACTGTATCAAAAATAAAACATTGCTGTGTATAATATTTTACATGTATTATGATACATATTGATCTTTTCAGAGAAGAAACATCAATTATTAAGAAGCAGAAAACATCATCCTCAATCTCGTTAGACACAGACCAACATTCATCATCAACTGCAACATGTGCCATTGATACTTCAACAGATATGCCATCTGAAGAGCATGACTATTGTCGCCAAGCACCATCTCTTGAAGAAGATCTTGAGGTAATACACGGATCATGTAGTTCCTTTGATCTTGGGGCATGTTGACTTTAGCTCACACCTGAGCTGAAAACTCAGTGAGCTTTTCTGATCACCTGTTGTCCGTCGTCCTTCTGTCAGTCTGTTAACTTTTCACATTTTCAACTTCTTCTCAAGAACCACAGGGCCAATTTTAACAAAACTTGGCAGAAAGCATCCTTGGGCAAAGGAAAATTAAATTTTTAATTTGAAGGGCCAAATCTTCTTAGGGGAGATAATCAAGAAAAGACAAAAATAGGGTGGGGTCATTTATAAATCTTACCAAGAACCATTGGACCAGAAAAGCTGAAACTGATGTGGAAGCATCCTGGGTTTGTGTAGATTCTAAATTAATCAAATCATGACCCCTCCCCCCCCCCCAGGGTAGGGTGGGGCCACAATAGGGGATCCTAGTTTTACATTGAAATATGAAGGAAAATTTTTTTAAAAAATCTTCTCAAGACCCATTAGGTCAGAAAAGCTAAAACTTATATGTGGAAGCATCCAGCTGGAGCAGTGTAGATTCTAAATTAACCCCCGGGGATAGGATAGGGCAATAATAGGGTATCCAAGTTTTACACAATAGACGGTACAAGGGGAAATCTTCAAAGAACAGAATGGACCAAATTACTCAGGTGAGTGATGTGGCCCATGGGATTCTTGTTTATGAAAACCACAATGGAAATCTTATCAGTTAACACAGTTTAAAAGAAAACCACCTGTATAGATTTTTTAGCAGCATCAATTCTATCAAAGAAACATGCAATGATGTGCATTTAATAATATAATTAATGTTTCATCATGTAAATAATACTGTATACACTATACAGTTGTTCATACAAATTTAAATAAAAGAAGAAAAGGTCTCTGTGATATTATGGTAATGTTGATATTAATTTGGAATAGATAAACCATGTGCATATATCACTGTTTAATACATGTACTATATTGCAGGCCATGAAGATGCACATTTCTAAACTAGAAGAAAGGGTACAGCACCTTGAGAAGAAAGTAGAGAAGTTCGGAATTGAAAGATTTTCCAAAGATCCAAATTTGATAAATTTTTACACTGGTTAGCTCTACTGGTCAGAGACCAGAAGAGCTTATGCGATAGTAATGCGTCCGTCCGTCTGTCTGTCTGTCTGTCCGTCTGTCTGTAAACAATTTTTCAAAATGCTACTCCTCCTACAGTTTTGGTCTAATTTCAATATAACTTGGCACACAAGTAGACTACACTAAGATACATAATTCTGTGTATCGGTTTTTGATTTCGATGAACGGTGTTGCGGTGGTTACTAAAAATAGAAATTTCTGTGAAATTCTTTCAAAATGCTACTCCTCCTACAGTTTTGGTCTGATTTCAGTATAACTTGGCACACGAGTAGAATACACTAAGATACATAATTCTGTATATCGGTTTTTGATTTCAATGAACGGTGTTGCCGTGGTTACTAAAAATAGAAATTTCTGTGAAATTCTTTCAAAATGCTACTCCTCCTACAGTTTTGGTCTGATTTCAGTATAACTTGGCACACAAGTAGAATACACTAAGATACATAATTCTGTATATCGGTTTTTGATTTTGATGAACGGTGTTGCTGTGGTTACTAAACATAGAAATTTCTGTGAAATTCTTTCAAAATGCTACTCCTCCTACAGTTTTGGTCTGATTTCAGTATTACTTGGCAGACAAGTAGACTACACTAAGATACATAATTCTGTGTATCGGTTATTGATTTCGATGAACGGTGTTGCCGTGGTTACTAAAAATAGAAATTTCTGTGAAATTCTTTCAAAATGCTACTCCTCCTACAGTTTTGGTCTGATTTCAATATAACTTGGCACACAAGTAGAATACACTAAGATACATAATTCTGTGTATCGGTTTTTGATTTCGATGAACGATGTTGCCGTGGTTACTAAAAATAGAAATTTCTGTGAAATTCTTTCAAAATGCTACTCCTCCTACAGTTTTGGTCTGATTTCAGTATAACTTGGCACACAAGTAGACTACACTAAGAACATAAAGAGACTTTATCAACGATCATTATTCTATTTATTGCTGTTGTAAAGTTTCAAATCCCAGCTGCTTAAGTACTTTTCTCTTCCTTTGCTATAAGTTCAAACCAGTAGAGCTTCAGTCTCGACAGAGACTTCTGGTTTTTCTACTTATATTTTTTGTGCTGTATATAATGTTGTTGAGCCAACAGCCTCAAATATGATCAGGTGGTCACAAGTTCAGAGAAATAAGAACATTGTTTGTAATCCTTTTAGAGAAGAGTCTTTGTCAATTGTAGATCAATTTTTTATGTAGAATTAGACAAGTTTTTTTTGAAGAAGATTTAGCACAACGTTTTTGTGTGTCTCAAAGCACGGTTAGTCGTATTATTATTACTTGGAGTAATTACTTGTATTGTATTTTGGGATGTTTACCCATATGGCCAGATTTAGATATTGTTAAACAGAATATGTCAGAATGTTTTAAGACTACTTTTCCCAATACACAAGTTATTTTGGATTGTACAGAAATACGTGTGCAGACTCCAAGTGCCAAAGTACTTAACTCTCAGTCATATTCAAATTACAAGTCTCATACTACCTTTAAAAACTTGATTGGTATAACCCCTCATGGTGCTGTATGTTTTGTTAGCAGATTATTTACTGGCAATATTTCTGATAAAGATGTAACACAAAGAAGTGGTATACTTGATCTATTAGAACAAGGTGATGATGTGATGGTTGAGAAAGGTTTTTTAATCCAAGATTTACTTGACAGTGTTGGTGCACACTTGATTATTCCACCTTTTTTAGGAAATAAAGTTAAATTTAGTAAGGAGGAAGTTACTAAAACTCAGCAAATAGCAAGACTAAGAATTCATGTAGAAAGAGCTATCAGAAGGTGTAAAGAGTACCATATTTTTGATAATGTTCTGCCATTGTCTGTTGCTGGGACTGTAAACCAAATTTGGTCTGTGTGTTGTTTAACAAATTTTAAAGAAAAGTTATTTTGAGAGATATTTCAATTGTTGAAGAGTGTTGCATGTAAATGAACATCATTTGCATATTTGAATTATACTAGACATGTACAATGGAGATGGAACTTATACCTGTTTATATTTAAAACAGAAATCGTTGCAGGCTTTAGGAATTTTTTTTTTTTGTAAATTTTTTTTTGATGTGTGCTTCATGTGAGAAAGATCTTTTTGGGAAAAGAAATTAATACCATGACATTTTTTCCAGATTTGGGAAATTTGATGATGTAATTCACATATTTTAAAATAGGATTTAATTAATACAAGTATTTTTAAATTGCACTTGCATTTGTAATGCTATCATCAGTTCTTTGTTAATTAATTAACACAATTGCAATTGTATTATGATTTACTTTGTATGGTATGATTTTTGTGATTTTGGATGATTGATTGTTTAGTGATTGTACCAGTATAATGTTTAACTTCCGTCTTGAGAATTTTTCACTCATCAACTCCTTACTCTGCGACTCTAGAGCAGATGCTCTAACCACTGCCCCAAGTGGGATAAAAGCTCATTAATTACAACTTTTTGAAAATAACAAGCCTTTAAACAAATTTGGATCTACATTACCTAAAGATGCTTGCATATTATTTCATGTATGACAAATCCCTCCCCCCTACATGTGTATATTTCAATATGCTATAGAGGAAAGATATTTGAACAAACTTGGATCTACACTATATCTACATTTTGATCTACACTATATACATGTAAGGAAGCTTTTGCCTCTTATGGCTATAAAGGTGTTTTTTTTTTTTTTTTTAAGTAGAAAAGGTTATGATGCCGAAATGTTCATTGTTTCCCAATCATTTTCCCAGTACATATTCATTTATATGGAGAATGGGGTAATTCATTTAAAATAAACAGATGATAGACTCCTTTTGATCAGAAAAAGCTTACTTGACTTTTGGATTGGCTAAACCGAGAAACTAAACAAACAAAAATGACAGCATGTTTGCATGTACTTGCATGTACTTTTTTTTTCTTTCTTTTGATCCATCATAAATGCTCAATTTAAAACCATACTGCCACTTCCTCCAAAATTAATTCCATTGAGACCATTGAATCAAAAAATGGACCAGTGCCCAGAGGTTCCCTTTTTTCATATCAGCCAAAAAAAAATTTATGAGAATTATAAACCATTCTGCTTTTCCTACTTTTCCTGGTTACAATTTAGGCCATGCAAAATTAATTCCTTGGTTCTCGGGCCTTTTTTCAAGAAATATGATAAGGGAGGGAGGCTTTTTTTTTTTTTTTTTTACTTTTTATTGCCCACAAAATATGATGAGGCAGCTTTTTACATTGTACAAAACCTCAATAAATGATGAGGGAGGTTATTTTTTTTTTTTACATATTTCATTGATTTAGCAATAAAAAGGGTCAATGAGGCACCCTTGGAAGAGATGAGGGAGGGCCAGAGAACCAAGAAATTAATTTTTAATGGCCTTACCTATACTTGATCAATTTTTAATACAGCTCTGAGTCTGGATGAACAAAATGTTTATGATTGACTTAATAAACGTGTCATAAACCGATTCTGACATCAAACAAAATACAGTTGAACAGTCTTAAAATCCCCATTGGAATTCAGCAAGAAAACAGAGAATTTAATACTTCATCTACATTTAAAAGATTTTGTCCACGGAAAAAAGATTTTGAAACTTTGACTGACGCATTATTAAAAAGTAACAAATTCAAACAGTAGCATGAAATTTGGACTTGAACATGAACAGAAGCATATACTGGTATAACAGAAAACAATGTCTTAAAGCAGGTTTAGTCAACAATCCCTCATGTTTTATTCTGGGAACTTCTCCTGACAGGAAAGTCATAGACCCCAACTTTGTTCCTATGTATGGGCTATTAGAAATTATTTGTCCAAGTGCCCACTTGATTACAAATTTTAAATATTTAACTCTTGTAAATGACAGCTATAAACTAAAATTCTTCCGTGAATATTACCAGTATTATCAGATAATGGATCAAATAGGTTTGAC